TTATAATATTAAAAATATATTTATTTAATAATATATAAAAATAATATAAAAAATTATTCTTATTTCACCGCTCGAAGCAATGTTGTCTGCGTCTTTCTTTCTCCACTCACATCTGACATCTCTCCACGTCACCCTCCAACCACGTGTACCCACGTGGCGCCTCCATAGTTATACCATTGCTCCCACCCGCAAGTACTGTTGGGCCAAGTTTATTCTCGATCAACGGTGCAGATTTCGTCTCATCTACGTCATTCTCGTTGCCATCTGTACCAATAACGTTTCATTTCTGCTTTGTCACCTACCAAACCAAACCAAACCGACCGAACGTGTCTGCAGGACAAGGATAACCTCTCTTGTTTTTTAATCTAGTCCCTAAACTTATATTACTTTTCCCATTTCATCTTTCAAACTTATTTTTTTCCATCAATTTCACTCTTGTAATTTTTTTTTTTACTAACCTATCAGTATTCAAAAGTTATATTGTTCTTTAACTAACTCAAAATTGAATCACACTGGATCCTATAAAAAGGAAAACTTTTTCAACACATGTTTCTTTTTTTATAATATTCAAATTTAAGATTTACTTAAGTGAATTGAATTTCTTTTACTCAGAACAACAGATCTTTTGTATTACGCTCTTGTATTAGTTAAGGATAAAGACAAAGTAAACAAAAATTTGGTCTTAAAATTTGGCCCTACATAATCAATGGTAAAAATAATTTCATCTTAAAATAATTGATCTTAAAATTGGATCATAAAAATCATTATTCATTTTTAAAAAATGATAGTAAGTGTGAGGTTGCTTGACTTTTTTTTATTTAGTATAATATTATTTTGGAATAAAAGAAATAGAGGTGAGGAAAATTTAAAAAAAAAAAGAAAAAAGAAAATGAGAAACCTTTGTTTGTTTAAATAAGAAGAGAAATTAGAAAAAACAACAAAAAGTGCATTTCTCTATCCTTTCATTTTTTTTTCTCTTAATTTTAATTTATTCCAATAAAATGTTAATTTTAATCATTCAAGTAAGGTATGCATATTTGTTTTTCTTTTATTTTCTCTCATTTCCCTTCATTTCCATCTAGGTAGGCATTATGTCAAGGTTTACTTGACCAAAAATTAGTATGTGGGCTGGATTAAGAAAACAAAAAATGTGGAAGGGCTAGCTTGGAGTTACTCTTGGCCGCGTCTGCTCCCCCCGCGTATTTGGCGCGTGTGAAAATGATTAAATTGATGGTTTTAACTTGAGCTCCACATGGTCAGGGTTAAGGCTGTAATTAACGTAATTTTTTTAATTAATTTATATAGAAAAAATAAAGGTTAATTTTAAATTTATCAACTATACAATTAAAATGTTTCAAGTGATATTAGTATTAAAAATAATATTTTATTTTTATATTTTTTATAAATATTTATTATAAAATAATATATTTAATTCATTTTAACATATATCATAAAGACATAGATGAGATAAATTTTATTTTTAGAAACAAAATTTTATATATTGTTTTGATAGCCTTACATTTTACTTTTTATGTCCATAGCACTACCCAACTAATAACCTTCAGTATTAAGCAAATCGTATCAACGACTTAAATAATTCAATCATAATTTTTTTTACTGAAAGTAAAAAATTTTAAATTCGACTCGTATATTATGTGAATGAGATAAAATAAGAAATAATAGATGATTATCTCTTATTATATAATCAACATAAAAAAGTTATTAAGCAATTCATAGTATTTAATGAGAATAATTTGAATGACATAATCAAGCACCCCAAATTCACCATTTTTTTATTTTGGTTAAATGCTTAATTTGGTCCCTCAAC